CTGCTGAGAAATCCTAGTTTTTTTGTGTAATGCTTTGTCTGTCCTCTTCCCCCGTTAAAACTTAATCTATAAAAACTAGAACTTTCCATTTCTGTAGCTCTCAGAAATTTATTTTTTCCCAAGTGATTATCTATTCAGAACATTTCTGTGAACATGTTTTCCCAAAACTTAGCTCTCGTGCACAAAATCCCTTCTCTAACTTCACCAAATCCAAGTGCTTTACATTTTAAGGTTTTTCGGAGGTATACACACAGTACACACACACACACACACACACACGTGTGCGCGTGTGTACACAATCTCACAGATTCCTCCACCCCCACTAAGTTGCTGCGTTTTCCCACCTTTTTCTAATAGCTTCTCTTTTGAAAGAATACTCTGCAAAACTGTGTTTGTTTGTATGCCTAAACAGAATTGTAAGACTTTACTGTAGAGAGGTAGTTTCTGTGGTAAACTTTGGGTATCTTGTATAAAACTAGGTCTGGTCACAGCCACTCAACATTCCATTGCCCAGTCTGCTCTTTCTGTTCTGTCTTCAATGATTGTCAAGCCAACTTACTTTTCCAAATTCGCCGAATTGCTGTATGACAATTTGACCTTAATTCAGACTTCATTGTGGAATTTTGATAGATATTAATACAGATGAATCTATTTATAGAATTCTCTCCTATTTTATAGCTTTAAATTTCACATCTGTCAAACGTGGAGCTATTTTCAGCAGCATTACTGTTCGTTTCCAACTTTAACCTTTCAGTCCACCAAATTTGCATAATCTCAAAAGATTTATTTTGATTTAGCTACAGGTTACTCCCTGAAGGGTTTTGTCCCTCTTCCTGTTAGTGTATTTTACCTGGTGTGTCTTCACTGTGATGACTATTCTTCTGAACTACGTGGTCCTAAAATGTGCCATGTAAAGCTTTGGATTATTCATTATGTGTTTCATTCTGTTGTGGTATTTTCATAAATCATTGTATTCATAATTTTTTTTTAATCAGCTACCAACACAGCTATTACTACTAGCCTGATGAGCTATGTGATGTGCACACTGTTGATTAAGTACTTCACATTACATGATATTGATTTATTTGGAAAGAAACAATACAATTTCTTCCATGCATTAAATCTGGTCATGGTAGGCCTGTTACACTGCTTTTGAGTCAGAAATAAATTACCAGAGTTGCCTTCAAGCCAGTATTTATATAGACTTGTTTCGGCATAATGTGAATAGAAACTGTTTCACACATTAATGAGAAAGTCACGTGAATGAGCATTAAGTAGGAGGTCAAATGCATATTATAGCTCAAAGATGCTCTCCACCTCAGTAAATTTTTAACTAGCTGTTTAAACTAAGGTCTTGGCTCTACTTACATGTTTGCCAGGGTAGATGAGTATTAGAAAACCTCTCTTGTAGAGGCGCAGCTTATAATTGCCAAGCATTTTTTTGAATCCTTGTCCCTGAAAATAATAAGCTCTGCCAGCTGACGAATTTTTTTTTTTTTTTTCCAAAATAACTGCGTGTATACTGCAGCATTTGTCAACAAAGCTCTATTGACAGAGCTATACTCAGAAGAATCCAAGGCCTAGGGAGTCCTAAGTCAATTGTCATTGTCATATGTTAAATTGATACTTAGGGTGAAAATTGTTACTATGTCTGCACTACATTTAGTTATTTGCCATACTGATAAACTGCCACAAGCACTTTGGAAACGTAAACCTCCTGACTCTGTAGGTTCTTTCCACCAAATTGCAACTAAAGAGCAATCTTTCCTAAAATCAAGTGGACATACAGCTTTTTAAAGCTGCATTTGAATCTTCCCATTAGGGATTCTGCTGAATGATCATGTATCTAAATGACCAGTAGTCATGCTACTGGGAGCAGTTGACTGGTTTATCTCCCTTAGCAAAGTCTCCAGCTCCTAGAACTTGTTAAGCCCTCAGCTGGCTACTTAGCTATCCTTAAATCATGGGAAATAAACAGAAGCCCATAAAAGTGTTAGGAAAAGCAGTACCATAATCCTCTCAGAGTTTGCATACAAGTTGCTTCCTTGGTCATAACCTCTTGGATTCCTGTAGGAGATGTGCAGACCATCGGTGATCTTGCTTAACTCTCTGCATTTACTGAATTACTGTTCTACAAAGGAATGTTGTCAAATTCTATAAAGCTCCTAAAATGTCTGAGAAGGATTACTTTAAAACCTGATTTAAAAAAACGCAAAAAAACCAACCAACCAACCAAACCCCCCCAACAATCGCTACTGAAGATTCATAAGATTTATTTTAAAGTACAGTATAGTTGCTCCCCTTTCCTCAAAACTGCTTTATCTTCCTAGGCAGAAAATTTAATTTCCTAACATTTGTGCCCCAGTTTGGTCCCATGAATCACACTTGAGTTGTATGTCTAAACTAAATGTTAATACCTTCCAGAATTTTTTCTCCAGTGTTTTTAAGCAGTACAACTCAAAAAGTAATCATCAAATTATTAATTATATGGTTTTTTTTTTTTTAAATTCTGAAATTGAGTCAACATGGATTTTACTGCTTGTACGTCTTACATGAACTATAGCCAGACCAAAAATATTAGATAGTAGCTGTCAGGACACTATCAGGACAGGATGGTTTTTTGTAAGGTGAAAGCGAGAGAATAACCAGGATCTTTCCTCACTTCCTTTGAATAGTCCTACAGAACCTGTCAGTGTCTGAACCTCTACAGTTTATTTAGCACCAGTTAAATTAAGAATTGTCTCATTAACAGACCCAGATCCCTAAGAAAACTCTTTAATCTTTCAGTTCCAACATTCAGCCTGTCTGTATTGAACTCCCTAGCTTCTGCTTTCCTTTACACAGCACTGACCTTTTGTTGCCCATACATACCGCCTGCATCTTGACCACTGATACTCAGAACTCTTAGGCTTGCAAAGTGGCTTTTCATAGATTTCATGATTTCCTGGTAAAAAATAGCAAATCCTTTTTGCTGTTGAAACTCATGTCCGATCTCATTCTCCACCTACATTTGAAAACTTCGAGTATTGAAGCAGAGAATTGTATCAGATTGTTTGGGCCCTGAGTCCTCATAATAGTCACATTTGCATTTGTGCTTATTTATTGCTAGGAGGCAAGTGCTATTCAAAACTTTCCCAGTGAGAAGAACCCTAGTTAAAAAACTAAAAACAAACACCAGAAGTTGTTCCAGAGACAGCAATGTTCCAGTTGTGAAACAAGCAGGCTGTCTGTGTAAACTGTTCTCAGGAACCAATGATTGCTCAATACTGACAATCCTGACCATCCTGTGAAGTTGCCTTTTCACTTTCATCTTTGTGTACTTTCTCTTGTGATTGTTTGTAGGCTAGTGCCTTTCTGATCTGTTCAACAACCCATTCACAATTTCCTTCAAGAATACACACAGAAAAGTCTAGTTGGAAAATCGAACCTGGAGAGAGGGAGCTTCTGTTAAAAAATAAAAGCTTGTCCATATTTGTGCACAAAATGTAACCTCTGAGATGTACCAGTTTAAATAATTCTGTCCCATCTCCTGCTCTTAAAACAGACAAGATGATTATTCAGCTCCTTCAGTATCTAGCTGTCATCAATGTCCATCTGACATGTATCAATCACCCCATTCTCCTCAGTGATGCCATGTTTCTATGTTACTTTCAACACCATCTTTCCCTGTCACAAAGATATAAACAAACAAACAAAGATATAAACCAGCATACTTTGCACAAGCCAAGGAATACTGTGATGAAGCGGGAAAGTGGCAGTGGTATTGTAAATTTTTGTGGTCTGTCGGTTATTCTATAACAATAATCTTCCCCCAGAACACACTGAACATTTATCACCATTTATCACCCTCTTTTTTTGTTTCTTTGTTTATTAATGGCCACCTTAGATGCATTCAAAGCTCAGTAATCTTATCCCAGAGATTTTTCCAAATGGGTAACTCATTGCAGTTCCATGCACTGGTCAGTGACTCATGAGCTTCTTCCCTTCAGACACCACAGCACACATAGCTTCAGTAAACCATCGACTCCTTCAGAAACACAGAATTTAAGACATTTGTAAAGAAGCCCTCTTGCCTTTATGAAACAGCAGACTGCTGACTAGCAGGTAGAAGCAACGCTCAGTTCAAAAGATCAGTATTGCAAGACTTAGTGATTTACAAAACCTGATTCTGCCACGCAGTGCCTGGGAAGATGCTGCTGACAGTCACCTAAAAGTGATACTGAGAGACTCAGAGAAATGTATACATATATATGTGTGCGTTTACTGTGATACATGAAGAATACTGTAGTCCCCACTTAGACGAGATTTTTTTCACTTGAGCAGGAGCTGAGTGAGAATTCTCCTCAGACTTTGCTGCATGCCTGTGAATGAACACACACAGGTAGACAATATACCAACTAGCAGGCAACTGTAGTAAAACAGTTGTAATCCCATTAGGAAGGGTTGCATGGGTACCTTCAGGGACATCGGCATTGGGTGCAGTTTGTAAAAACCTGGAGTAAGGAGGGATAACTGTCCTCTTTTTACAACTAGCATGTCGGTCTGTCTCTCTCTTTGTATGTCCTAGTTGACACAGATATATTTAAACTGATGTTTTCCAATGTTATTCCTTTCTAGCTATTGATCTCATAAATAATTTGCTGCAAGTGAAAATGAGAAAGCGCTACAGTGTGGACAAAACGTTAAGCCACCCGTGGTTACAGGTACTGCTATGAATTCCATGTTTTCTCCTATGTATTTAGACTCTAAGTATATAAGAAGTTTTCATCTTTAAGCACAATAGAATCTAAGCAAATCTACAAACCTGAAGATATTTTCAGATCCTGAGAACCTCGCACTTGTTTACCAATTTACTTATATATTCTAATTAATTTTTGAAGTATTAGATTCCAATTCTGAGCTCTCTCGTTTTCAAAATACACTACAAAAATATTTTATATTGTTTGTCCACTGAGAAGAGAACATTATGTGAGTATATATATAGACATATATTTTTTAAAAAAACCCTTTTATAGTAATTTTACTTCCATTTTTTTCATTGCCTGGAGTCTACCATGATTCACTTCTTACTAAAACTAATCAATGGGCTGCCACTTCACAGTCATCAGAAGAACTAGTGAAGTTGTATGCTTTCTGGGAAAATACATTAGCCACCTTCAATTGAAATTTTCAGCTGAAAACTGAAATGCTATGAATTTTTGAAGATGCTAGCAGCCACTGTCTTCTGCTCCTCATATGTCCTGGCAACAGCCACATCACTGCATGTTGAAAGACCTAAAATAGAAGCAGTGCAGTGAGCAGCAAAGGCCCGTCCCACTGCCCCCAGGCCAGGACACTAGGCACCTCCATGAGGATGGGCTGAGGCCAGGCTGGGACATCAGCTTGTGGGATCCACTTTTGCATGTAGGAAATTAATCATGGACCAGGCATGGCACAGATTAGATGTGTAGTCTACAATCCCAAAGGAATCCTTATCCAAACTGAGAACTGGATCCTACTCCAATACCTTGTATTTGCAAGTGCTTCTCAAAGTAGAAAGTGTCCTGCTTGTATAGGAGGAAAAGGGCTGCAACCTCCCACCCCACACTCCACCTTCCCAGGGACAATTCTCCTGGCCTTGCTTTCTTCCTCCTAGATTTTGTGCTACTCTCCAGTCTTTTCCTCCAAGACTGCTCTTCTCCCTGACAGCCATTGCAGAATGCCTTTGTTTGAGGCTTTGAGGACTGGAGAGGTGGTGTGGGCTAAGGCCTGCAGCAAGGATGCTGCGTGCCTAACATGATGGGACAGAGTCCTTTCATCTCTCTACATCCACTTTTATCGCTTGTACAATAGTGATTGGAGTTGAACTAAGGTGAGGCAGTACAGCAGCGGCTCTAGCACCATGGGTGAGATGAGTCCTCTTTCCAGAAGAGCCCAACCTTGTGGGCTAAGGAAAGGTAACAGTGGTGCGGGGCAGTGAGACTTAGAGGTGAGGTGACGCTCTGAGGTAAGAAGTGGGCCAAAGGATATGAGATACTAAGGATGAAGGCTTTCATGCATTTACAGTATGTGGGCTTTCTGGTACTTTGGCTAGGTGACCAGGGTTGTGTCTTAGGTTGAGACAAGGTCAAGGAGAAAAAAGAAAACTGGATACAGAATTGTGAGCAGAGGTTAGTTTGCATGGGGCTAGGACTGGCTTTATTACTGCAGCTTCATGTATGCTTTGGGTGGCAATGAGAAAAGAAATTATTAAACTGGATATATGTTTTAGGCAGACCACAGGCGGAAGAGCATGATGGTCTAAACAACATGAGAACCAAACCAGTTGCCAGCCTTAATGTTGACTGTCAACATGTTGTTCCAAAATACCTTGATGTTTGGAAAAGCAGATTTTTTCTAGCCCAAGCTGAATTCATATCCTGCACCGTTATACTGAGATGGAGCAACTGTCTTGACTAGCTGATATGGGTCACTGGGATGTACATGTATGATTTAAAGATGTTTCTTTTTCCTTATTATTCATCTTGTGACTAGTGCAAGGAATTGTTTTCCACCCATGCTGCATTTAGATATCATGGAAATCTGAAGACTACCAATACGCTCTACAAAACAACCTGTAACGTGTCCATACTATACTCATGACAGAGATTAATAAAATTAATTTATCACATAACCCTCTAGAAATGAAACCTATCTTTCTAGGCATATTTCATATTTATTAATTACAAGATTTTTCCATTCTGGAGCAATAGGGAGGGATGCAAGACCTTTAGATGCTAGGTTAATAGCAGTTTGCATATTATTGGTAGTAGAAGGGAATGTAATTTATTTTATGAATGTTAAAGCTAGTACTATTATTTTATTTCAGGACTATGAAACCTGGTTAGATTTAAGGGAACTTGAATGTAAAATGGGGGAACGTTACATCACCCATGAAAGTGATGACTCCCGATGGGAACAGTATTCAGAAGAACATGGTTTGCAGTATCCAGCCCACCTTATCAGTCCAAGTGCTAACCGTAATGAAAACACCAAGCTACAAGAAACAGAAATGAAAGCCCTCAGTGAGCGTGTCAGCATCCTTTAAGTTGCATCTCCTATAATCTGTCAAAACACTGTGGAATTAATAAATACATACGGTCAGGTTTAACGTTTGCCTTGCAGAACTGCCATTATTTTCTGTCAGATGGGAACAAAGCTGTTACGCTGTTACACTGTTGATCTATCTGAGTTGCCAAGACAAATCAACAGAAACATTTTTGTGTGACCAACTGTGTTGTATTTACAAAAGTTCCCAGAAACACTAAACTTGTTATTGTGAATGATTCATGTTGTATTTAATGTATTAAAACCTGTCTCCACGGTGCCTTTGCAAACTAGTGTTTTTCTTACTTGAGCCTCCTTTTGGTAAGAGACAACTTTCCCATTAACATCTGGGGGGTTTTATGTGCATCGTTAGTATTGTAATTGTAAGCAAACTCTTGAAGAGTAGATTATAACTGCTGTTCTGTGAACAACTTCTACCATTTGGATAAAAGCTTTATTTAGTGTCGAAAAAATAGAAAAAGCAAAAAATAACTAATTGCATAGCACTGTACAGTTTCAAATCAGATAACCTGTGTGTATGTTTGTGTGCTTGTGTATATAGCTGCACAGACACACACACACACTATAACTTGCTCTTAAGCCTAAATGCCTTAGTAATGTAAACTGCAGCATATGTCGGTTGTTATTCTCTCTAACATGAATATTCTCTAATATGTACATTCAGAAGCTAAATAACTTTGTTGACTTTGTGTACGTTTTCAATAAAAGTCTTGTTAAAATAGCTTCATTTGATTAATCTCTCTGTTTAAAATATTCCTGGAATGGCATCAGAAGTAGGTAGAGTAAATCAGTTCATCATTAAGAAGCCCGTAGCAGGAAAATACTGCCAGCTAGCCTACATACCTGTAAAACACACTTTGTAAGAACCTACTTGGACTGATTTTTATATCATAAGTTCAGGTCTGAAACATTCTAGGGGAGTGGGGAAGTTTAGTACACTGGTTTAGTACCAGTGAAATTAATGTGAATTTAGTTTTTAAAGAAATGTGCTGCTTCTGCTTTTCCACTGAGTTCCATTGAACTCATGATGATGTAATATATGATGTAATATCCTGTTAGGATAGGTCCCTTCCTATCCTAACCATTCTATGATTCTATATGGATCCCTCCCACTCTCTTCCCCCTGAAAACTTTAAGGATATTAGTTTTCATTGCTAACAATTACTTAGTGTTCCAGCACTAACTGGTTTAGCTTTAACTGTGAGAGAGGTTCAGGCTGCACTGTAAAGCGTGTGCCAGAGTAACTTGGTGACAAGCTGAAAATTACTCTATGTCACAGGCTATCTCTGAAAAAACAGTTGATACACAGGTACTGAAGAGAGAGTTTAAAAAAGACGAGATACATGGGGTGAGAGGCAGAAGTGTGCAATGATGAGAGTCACATACAATAAACCTCTACTGATCAAATCTTGGCTTTATGTTACATCATGGGCTTTTCATCAGATAAATCTATTCTTTCCTCAAAGAAGAGCTTTGTCTGGAGGAAGTTTATGCCAGATACATAACATGATGAAAACCAGCAGAATTTTACTTATTTTGCACCTCTGCTGTACAGATAGTGTATACTGTAGAAGAAATGAAGAAAAGGTACCTTTATTCAAACAGAAAAAGAAAGTATTATAGAAAATTTTAAAATATTGTGAAAAATTACTTTTTACTCCTCCTTGCCTCTTTTCCTATACTCCCACTGCCAAAAATGAAATACTTTTTCACTTCAGCTGGACCCTGAAGGAAGTTCTCTTATAGCACTGGCCTTGTAACATGTTCTGAATCAACTCTGGTTGGACAGAGGTTGAGCGTGTTGACTTTTCTGCCATGCTGTAATGTCTGTATTTTCAGTCAGGGCTTTCCTACAAGGCTAAATTTGGCTAATCATTGGCCATTGTTTCTTTTTCATTCAGCCTCATTATACAGATTGTTCAGATGCTGATACCATGACTGTTCTTAAGGAGCCATGACCTCACAGAAGTGCCTTAATTTTGTTGTCTCATTCTTCTGTGTTAACCAGTAATAGAGATTTAGAGCTGTACTTTCATATTGGTCAATTTAGGTGAGTCAGGATTTTATTAGTGGCTTGGTTTTATTTACAATTAGTGTACCAACCCTTGAGCAAAGGTAATTTTGAACAAAAATATCAAATAGCCTATTGGCACTCTGTCTCAAGTGTGGACACTAGTCAGGAGATTAAAATTAGAGAAAGCAAAATACATTGCAGTTTGCCACGGTGCTTCTAAGGTGCTGGTTGACAAACCTAAAACTGGCTCAACTTTTAATGAAGGAAGGACGTTGAGTACTTACCCCATCATCTGCTGATTTCTGCTATAACAATGCTTAGCATGCACAAGGGTTTACTAAGCACAGAACTATGTTGATAAACATATTCAATCTCATGCAGCACTTGTCATAAACTTTTTCCCAACAGAACAGACAAAAGAATAAATTAAGTACTACTTCGAGAACCATTCTGACTAACTACTAAACATGATTTCAAAGGAACTCTTGTTTGATTATAAGAGGTGTATTATACTTTTTTTCCTCCTCACGCCTGGGGTGGTTTGTTGGGTTTTGGGGGTTTTTTTGAGCACTGAAGCTTGCTTCATTGCTTTAAGGAACTTGTTGTGCAAATATTCATTGCTTTTCAAAAAAAGAATCTGCCTTTAGCCAATATAATAAATTAAAATTTTCCCTTCTGCCATTCAAAAATGTTGCATTGTGAAATTTGAACTGTTTGCAGTTCAGCCAGACAGATGAATTCACTGTTTCCTAACTCAAAGCCTAACCGGAAACTTGCTCTTCCAGATACATCAGCATCAAAGTGTACTGAAGCAAATCTGGGATTGTGTTGTCCTACATGATTTTCCTTAGCTTGTTTTAGTCAGGGAAAAGGAATGATAGGCTGCTCTGTAGTAATGTTTCCATGGCCTATGCATTTTCCATTAGGCCAGCAGTTCCTGTGCATGCATCATGGAAGCAAAAACAACGATGGTTATGCTTCACATAAATATCTCCCTGGGTATCTATTGATGGTATTTCCTTTTCTGCTGTGATACTTCATATCATGTGCGTATCAAGCTGTGGTGGGTTGACCCTGGCTGGATGCCAGATGCCCACCAAAGCCCACTCTATCACCCCCCTCCTCAGCAAGATGGGGAGGGGAGAAAATAAGATGGAACACAGACAAAAAAACCAAACTCCTGGGTTAAGACAAAGGCAGTTTAACAGAAGCAAAGCAAAGCTGCATGCACAGAAGCAAAAGAACAAAATATTTATTCTCTGCTTCCCATCAGCAGGCGATGTTTGGCCACTTCCCGGGAAGCAGGGTTTTCATACGCGTTGCGGTTCCCGGAGGACAAAACAGAAGTAACAAATGCCCTCCCCTTCCCCCTCCGTTCTCCTTGCTTTTATTTCTGAGCAGACGTCATATGGTCTGGAATATCCCTTTGGTCCGTTTGGATCAGCTGTCCTGGCTCTGTCCACTCCCAAGACCTTCCCCACCCACAGCCTACTGGGGGGTGAATGTTGGAGAGCCAGCCTTGATGCTGTGCGAGTACTGATCACCAGTAACCAAAACACTGGTGTGTTATCAACACCCCTCAAGCCACTAATACAAAACACAGCACCTTGAGGGCTGCCGCGGGGAAAATCAACTCCAGCCCAGCCAGATTCAATACACAAGCACAAGTGTACACATAATCATGCAGTTGTAGATACATTTATTATGTCAAAGCTTAGCTATGGAGTGCAGAGAGGTAGTCAACACATACTTGGAAACTAGAACTTCTGCTTTAAGTTGCTATTTTCACTTCTACCATCTTTATCCATTCAGATGTGATTTCTTTATCCACTGTCTTGTCCAGGCAGTTCAGCTAACTCAGGAAATAAGGTAAGCAAAAAGCATGGACTTACACAACTTGTACATCTGTTTAGCCACGTGTGACCATCCACCCACACCTTTATGTCATAGAATGGAAGGGAATTTTCGTCAGTGGGCTTTGTCTCCCATTGTCTCAGTTACTACATCAGATCTCCTTGTTCTCAGTTTAGCAGGATCTCTTCAAACCTGTTTGGATATTCTGCTTTCCCCTTTTCTTCCTCTTCCTTCCTCTTTCCCCTCTACACCTCACTTCTGAAAAGCCTTCCTAGAATCTCAACTCTCCAGTGGTTAGAAAGTTGTAAATCCTGACCTCATGGCAAGGCAATAACCATCTGGTTTTTGTGTCAACAGTCTTTTTTTTCTTTGAGAGGTTAAACAAACTGGGTTATTTATTTTACGTTATTGAATAAATCAACACCTCTTCTGCACACCTGAATTTATCCTGGACAATGAAGTCACAGAAGTGACATGGAAAATGGTAATAAGCTGAAAAAAAAAACCCAAGCACTTACTGGACTAAGAGGGATGGCATCCTGTAAAATTAGGGAGAAAGGTAAAAAAATAAAACTCCTGAGGAAATTTAAGAATGAATCACTAGACAGGTTAAGCCCTATATACTACTTCAGTCCATGAGACGGAGAAATATCAGAGTTGAGTCATTATGGATTATGGGCCAGTATTATTCAGATACGTCTACCAAACTACTGATATCCTGGAAAAACTCTGCTGCATGCAGATAAGCTGGAGCCCTGTCCCTGTAACTGTTCAGCAACCCAAACTTTGCTCAATTTATCACTTTCCTGGAGATACTATTTTTTTTTTCCCGCCCGAAGGAGAGGCTATAATTTTTTCTATCAACAAAGGAGTCCAGCCACATATGTGCTGACCACCTTGTACCTCACGGCCAGACCTATGATACCTGAACCAAAAGTCTCATATTCCTGGGGTTTATTGTGCATGTGTCAGATAGGAAAGAGCTCAACCAAATGAAATGTAAACCAGAGAAACTGTCTTGGTGAATCAGGTAGTTTTCAGTGGTAAAAAAATTGACACCTGAATGGGATGCAGTTTCACTTTGCTTTTTGCTTAGCTCATTGCTAGCCACTGGAGCAAGTGAATGCTGAAATCAGGGTCTGCTGAGTGAGCTGATATTTATCTGTGCTTCTCAGTGAGTCTGCTTCAGTGAAGAAGAGGGGGCACACATTATAAGAAGTGTAAACGATTTTGCTGCCTTACTAAGCACATCTACAAACTTGAACATCAGCTGTTTATGAATAAGAATTTAAGAAAAGTCTACTTCATGTTTCGGACTGAAAAGTTGCTATTTTGAAAGATCCCATGAAATTAAACGTTTTGCTTGGGCATCCAAGCACTAAGGTCCTACGCCCTAGGGCATCTAGCTCTGCTGTGAGCCTGAAGGGCCTGAGGCCTCACACTGCAGAAGTCTGCTAGGCAGGGTGCCAACCAGGGGAGCTACAAGGAAAATAAGCACGATGAAAACGTGCCTTTAAGGCAAATACCGAAATCTGCAATCACGTGTGTGCTGCCAAAGTTTAACAAAAGTTGGCAGATTCTGTTGAAGATTTTCTATCCAGATAAACTATTTTCCAATATGAATTTATGATACATTTGCCAACTATA